AGCAGAATGGAAAGTTCCTACTTCCACCTGGCTCATAATCTGGAGGCATGGCAAATGGCAAAGGGCTCGGGTTATCCTTATTTCGAAGGTGGGTAAAGGGGGGAGAAAACTACCGACCATGAAATCAGGTCTTGCACTCTGAACGAGGCATATTTTCATCTAGATAAGCATGCGTACTGGTTGGGCAGACCCACAGACACAGCGCAGTAAAAGTCGCTTTTTCGTTCAACAGTTTTACCTCAGAAATTTTCTGACTTTAGCGCCCTCTGCTGCTAACAAAAAGAGGATTTGATAAATTAATCTTCCAAATCTGTTAGCTATGCAAAAATTTGTATTACTTAAATATTCTAAGCCGTTTATTTGATTTTAATTTTGCTTATGGGACAAGCCACTGTGCGGCGCCATTTTCCCTGACTACAGAAATAAAAAGTTCCTTTGAATGTGAAAAGACAGTGCTCAGTGCCTTCCCTGAGATCGAGGTGGCTTTCGACAACACATCTCATTTGGACCTTGATCGGGCTCTTGATAATTGCCTACCTCTGTTCCCCAGGGACGATATACATTTAAACTAAATATGCAAATAAGGTGACTTGGAGTACCTCTATTATGGAAAAGCACATTCAGGCAAGTGCACTGCAATGGCACACAGACAGCCCCTGTAGATATTAGTGCAGGCGTATGTGGGCCTAATCTCAAGCTGCCAGTGCCCGTGGAAATCTTCTCAAGCATATTTCAAGTGGAAGTTGATGCCGTTGGTCTATCGACGTAATAGGATTTTTATTTTAATCGCCACTTTTGGCTGTCTCATCATTCGGGGAGTAATCCTCATTGCGCTCCTGCGCGCATAGAAAAGCTGAATGCCCTTGCTGAGAACAATGCTATTAAACTTATGTATATGAGTACCAGAACACAACGGAAGCAAATGAAATGAGCAAGTCGATTAGTTAACCGGCATGGCTGCTAACTCAACCCCGATAAGATCTGAGCCCTTGCTTGCAATAGGTCCTAATGAGATAAAGATTGGAATAGAGTCGTAAGAAGCCACTTGCATAAACACGAGATCTGGTTAAGTGATCTATGTCGCTTTTATGACTCCGCCGAAGAGACATCATTGCACCTCCTCCTGGAGTGCAGGGTCGTGAAATTTTGGTTCTATGCACAATATCATTCACATTGTCATTCTTAATTTAACGATTTAGGGCTCTAAAAGCTGCCGCAATAAAGAATTTATATACATATGTTTCTGTGTTTTCATTTAACTTTTATTTTATTGATTTTATTATCAATTTTTATTTAATATATTTCATTCGCATACTTAATATACATAGTAATATTCATTTTCATACTTAATATACATAGTAATATTTGTAGCAACGAAGGAGCGGTAAACATAATACGTACTTTCACAAGTATTTAAATGTGTAAGTAATATCAGTGTTGGAATGCACATATGTATACACAATTAAAGTGCACGCAGATACATACATATATACAAACATAAAGTAGTAGCCGTATAAAAGTTACTAAGGTATGTACCTTTAATTCTTCATCACCAGACTTCGTCTAGCCCTAATGAAATCCTAAAGTTTCAGGCAAGGTATCCTCTTGTTATATTCATAGTCTCTGGCCAGTGGAAGGTGCAGTGGGGTTTCTGCCGCCCTTTCGCGCAGTAAAGTCGGCAGCTGTCTAAGCTCCACAACCAGCAATGATCCATCCGATTTCCTGTTACATGTATGTTTTAAAGCTTCTCTTCCTAAATATCTTGGAATTGTAAGCTCTAATAGGTTGAGGTTTTCCCAATAGGCTCGTCTACGCAAGCACTTCTCTGCACTTCAGGCTTTACTGACAGTATGTTTGTATGCGGTTTCTATAGTGAGGATGAGTTTGTGTAGCTGTTTTTGTTGTTGTAGCGGCTACAACAACCCCGCCCAGATCGGTTAGTTCCTCAATCGTTGTCGTCGAGCTCTACTAGCGGTAGCCCCAGGAAGCGTGCAGCCTCGACGGGGTCTGTGCATAGGGACAGGGGCGTTAGTAGGGTGGGATTCAGAGGGCATACAAAGAGATGCTGTGAGTTATGGAGCGACTCTCCGCATTCCGGGCATTCGGTTAGAACATCCTCGTTTAATCTGCGCAGGTACGAGTTCAACCTTCTACACTAACCACAGCGCAGTTGGGCTATTGTGGTCCGAGTCCCCCGAGGCAAACGAAGTTCTGTCACGTCCACGTCTAGTGGTTGTGTGGCCAGAACGGCATTCACAGGTCGAGAGTCTACATAAATCGAGACTACCGCTCAGTGAATGTCGTTCAAGGCCTGTCGATAAGCGGTCGGGTCAAAACTTTGAGTAGCTGCTACTTCCTGCTTAAGTATGTTAGCTTCCTCGTTACCCTCTGTACCTTCATCGTGTTGGTACCAAATCAGTTGTGCTGTGCTGTTTTCCCCAATGGCGTTCCATTTCTTAAGGATTCCCATTCCATGCGTGATACAATTTCATTTGAAGATAGAACTTTTTAAGCAACTTAACTGTATTGGCCAATACAACAGCACCCCCATTTCAAAGTCATATTGTTTGTCACTCATGTTTATTTATTTATTTTTAAGAATTTTCAATTAAAATACAGTTCATTCTCTCACAAAACTCACATAAACGCAAGTTTAAAACTTTTTAAAAGACCGCAAAAAAGTGCAACAAATTTTCACCCAAATTTCAAACATTTTTCTCAGAAGCGGTAGAATTTTTTTGAATACACAGTTTTATAGCCCATTCAATTTTAGTCCAATAATGTGCAAGTTTCAAGTGGCTAAAAATTACCGTTGATTTTTTAGAATTTTTTTCGCCGAGGATGTTGCGAGTTCAACGGTAATCTTTAGCGACTTGAAACTTGCACATTATTAGACTAAATTGAATGCGCTATAAAACTGTGTACTCAAAAAAATTCTAGAGCATCTGAGAAAAAAGTTTGAAATTTAAGGAAAAGTTTGTTGCGCTTTTTTGCGGTCTCTTAAATAGTTTAAAACATGGGTTTATATGGGTTTTGTTAGAGAATGAATTGTATTTTCATTGAAAATTCTTAAAAACAAATAACTAAACATAAGTGGCAAACAATATCGCTTTGAAAGGGGGGTGCTATAGATATGTCCAATACTGTATATGCAGGTCTCTACAAATTTTAATCGGCACAAAAACTGATGGCATAAGTCTCCGCTTAGAAGATGCTGGTGTATCGTCCCATGGGGTTGTAGATCGTGGCCATAGTGCCATACATTCCGGCCGCTATACATCCGTCAGTTTTTGAACCAGCTGTGTGTCATATTTGGGTGCGGTCCTGATAAGGTATTTCCTAGAATTATTTAGTTTTGGCCGCTTCCTTGCTTAATGCGGTATTGAACCTTTTCTCAAAAATTGTTCTCTCAATGATGTCATCTCTGTTGAACGGTGAGATGGGAATCTTTGTTTTGATTTCCTTCCTAGCCTTTAAAATCTTGAGATCTACCTCTAGCTGTGTCTTTTCTAGTGAATTTTAAAAGGGCCTTGTTTGCAGTCTATTATTTTATGACGATTTGCTTTGGGGTTAGGTTGAGGATGCCTTCGGACGAAACGGTTCGGTACAATTTCATGAAGGTTCCCTCACATAGTTTTGGTCAGGATGGATGGATTATGACACCTTGGTTGTAGTGAATTTGCATGGGTTAGCGTGCGTTTAAACATGGAAACCTTTTTGACCGCAATATTGAAAATGACTTTGTGCCAAGTGATGGAGCTTTGCCAATATAAAAACAAAATAATAATAATTAAATCCTTAAGCACTTAGTTTCTGCTCTAAACAACCTTTCAGTTGATCGAAAATCGAAAAAATTTGTATCCAATTTAGGACTGTTATTCGATTTAGGACTGTGGTCTATTAAAAAACTTTAGAGTAAAAATAATTATAGTTTAGAAGGGAATTTTAATATTCTATTATACTGCACATTCACACTTATCGAATTGCGGCTGTTTTAAGGGTCCGTGAATTTAAATATTTAGTAAAAACAAGTTAACATTTTGGCCACTACAGTATGGGTATGTACGTATGTATGTCCGTATATTTGTATGAACATATGTATGTACCCAGTAGCGAAAATGGTCACCGGTGACATCGTCACAAATGAGAATTTAGTGACATCGTCGCACTTGCTGTGAATCCTAAACGATACATAGCTGACAATGATATTGGTGACTATGCCATGCAGGTGTACTTCTATCAAAGACTTAAGTATAACCGACAATAGGTTTGTTCGTCGAGCAAAAAATTTGTACGAATTTGTACGAATTATCACGATTTTTGCCCAAATCGCGTTCGTGCAGACCAAAAAATTATCCAACACTCAAAAATTGTGAGAGCAAAGTGACAGTTCTCTTGGAGAGAAGTTGCAAATTCTTGCTGGAAAAAATTTTGCCAGCAAGAATTTGCAAACACGAAAAACATGTGGTTGTGGCGCATGGTTGCATTTTTGTCTACAATAATTTGAATAAATTAGTTCGTTAAATTTAAAAATTTATAAACACGAGCGATTTTTTTTATGAAAAAAGGAAGTAAATAATTGTTGATATAATTAATTTAGTTAATTCCAATGATATGAACTTAATTCGGCTGAAAAAAATGGTATTCGCAATCGGAATGCAATTGCAACCAGAGTCGATTTAAGGAACCCTACAGCTAGTATGATGAAGAAATTGAAATGTATGTTAAAGAAAGTCAGAACAACAAGAAATATACATGAAAAACCTGTTTTTGGCCATCCGAAAGAATTTAAAAATTCTATAAAAAATTTTTATGTTTGAAATGCAACCGTGGACGCCAGCTGGCAGCGAAACTTGCAAATTCCTGCAAATTTGCGTTCGTGCAGAAATTTGCAAGTTTCTCAACATGAGAGAGAATTTGAGAGAATTTTTTCTTACTCTCTGATATTTTGAGTGTTGGATAATTCTTGCTGGATTTTCGACGAACAAACCTAATGTCTTGCAACGGTGACTTATAAACATTCCATTGCAGGATAATGTCGTTTGAACGTCATCAATGATCACTGCATGACAAAGTCAACGACTTCCATATAAACAGAGCCCAAAGTCATTTAAGACGTAACTTGGCAGTACTAGACACTTAAGAGACCAATTAATGCCATTCGCTACGGGGTATGTAACTAATTATTATGAGAATACATATGTAATAGCTATCAGGCTGTCTATGTATATAGTACTTTTGTATGTTTGTACGTACGTACTTGCACGAATCCCTATTCAAATATGTATGCATTTATGCATTTATAACTACCATAGTTAAACGTAATGGGGTGTGGTTGGGTGGGATTAACTGTATGTGTGTGCGCGCTAACAAAAAACTCTAACAAAAGATACGCTTTTTCAGCTGAAAATGTTTACACATTAATTATCTCCCGTATGTTTATGTCTCCGGATAGCGGCAATAGGAAGTACTCTCGACAAGCTCCCGTGGTATCCAATCCTCGTATAAGGGCAACCGATTTTTCAATGTCTCCACTTCACGTAAAATGCGCACTACATTGCCGCCAATTAGTTTCTTGATAGCCGCATTACCCCAAACGCGATCGCGTGCCAGCTCAGCTAACAGAAAAGCATAACTCTTGGGCGCACCACCCAAACCAATGTGATCGACACCGGCCACCTTGCGCACATAGTTGATGGCGTTGATAGCTTCGCGTACAGAGAACCGACGTTCTTCACAGCGTTCTAAATTCAGCATTATTACGCCACCATTGTCCGAAAGCAAGCTGGCGAAGTGGTAGTAGAGTATGCGAGTGATTAAAGTAGAAAATGCGGCCTTGCCAACCATTAAATAAAAACAAACTCACCTCAAAATGCGATCAGGTATGGAGGCTACGCTGGAGCTGTTGCAAACCGAAACTGGCACAGCATTCAAGAGCAAAACCGGCGCTTTGGCCGTGTGCAATGCAGTCACCATAGCCGCCTCTGACAATTGAGAGATTTCGATAAGCATTCCCAGTCGATTCATCTCGTAAAGCACCGTCTAAAATATGAAAATCTATTCATTAACAAAGCGCCAAGTGCTTATTTGCTTACACACCTTTCCAAACTCGTTGATCGAATGTGTGGCATTTTCCTCGAACAAATAGTCATGACTGCGTATGCAAGCAGCAGCCCAGGGTGTTGTGCATTCCAAACTAGTAATCGATACGAAGCGTGCGCCGAGCAGATACATCGATCGCAGTACTGCCAAACTGGCACCTAATGTGTGGCCACCGCCCAGACCAAGCATCACAGCTACTTCACCTCGGATATGCGTCTGTTCCATTTCGTCGGCAGAGAGCACAATGTGCAATGCGTCCGTATTAGCGGTAATGCGGCGTGCCTCATCGATACCCTCCAATGCCAACTGTACGGCATCCAAATACTGTGCGCCGCACGGCACCGAAATTGGCCAAAAAACTGCACCAACATGATTGCGACGCACTTCGTTTAACATACCACTGCTGCTGCTGCTGCGATTCAGAACATCACGCATCGGTGGCTGCCAAGCGGAGCCTTCAATTAGCGGCGATTCAGCCAACAAACGACGTATGAATGCAAGCCGCGCTTCTAGCAGCGACGAGGAACGCAACTGCAGCGCCAATGGTATGCCACCTGCCATGGCTATGCACACCAACATTATGCCGAGCACAACTATCAGCCGGCGACTGCGCGTCGAACGGCTGGGCTCACTACCCGTATCACTACACGCGCTCATTTTATATGCGGCAGCGGCGATGGCGCCATTCTTTAGCTTCTCACTGCCAAGCTTTGTAATCTCTGGCGGTAGTTCAATGTCCGCGATTTCTGTGAAAACAAAACATTGCTGCTTGCAGTGTGGCTGGTGCTCGTGTTGAGGTGGCTGCAGCTCGTGCGGGTGTGGGAGTGGTGCGGGCGGTGGCGGCGGTGGAGGTGCAGGGTTTAGTAAAGGATTGAGTGCGAGTTGCTGATGGTGCTGATGATGTTGATGCTGGTGCTGATGCTGGGGATACTGATGATGGTGTATGGCAGCGGCACACACCTCTATATATTCACGATTTGGCACTGGATTCATGCTGCTGCCATGGAGCTTGGCTAAGCAATAGCAATTAAATGAGTTCACACGGCTGTAAGGGGGTTAGCGTTCAGTTGCACACCTTCTTTATTTGATTGTGGACGTTGTGATTTTAATTTCCTATAAAATTTATTCGATTATTTACCAACAAGTGAATTAATCCTGAAGCACTCACCTACACTTTTCAACATTGGGAAAAAGCTTTATTGATTTTTCATTTGACAGTTTTACGGCTCCTGCGCAGTAGTTGGACGCGTAAATTATTTGCAACAGGACGAATGCAGCTTTTAGTCAGCTGGTATGTGAACGTTCGCTTACAACTTTGCAAGCCAAGTTGAAGATGCCTTTCCTCGTATGTACGTACATAGGCTTTTATTTCCAACATCTTTACTCAGAGCAAGTGCTTAATTATTAAACTTTAATATTTAACCATCTAATTTAATAATTTAATTATTAAACTTTGATATGAGAAAAATGGCGTGTCAAGATGTAAGTGAAAAAGTAATTGAAAATAAGTTGGTTCTATTGCCGTCCCTAGCCATTTATTTCCACCAGATGAAAATAAACTGGCAATTTGATTTTTTATTTAAAACTCACTGCAGATGCAACTGGTTAAAAAGTTTTTCCGTTTCGTTACCATGCCATCCCTCACGAATTTTCAACAAAAACCCAACGCCACTGTGAACTGCTTGTCGCCGAAAGAAGAAGCATATATCAGCAGCTGTTGTAAACAAATTATTGCACGTGCGTATTCCTTGGCAATTGTATTTATTTGTTGAATAGCGAAGTAATGCCCGATATTGAGGGCTATAAAGGTAAACTATACAAGTATATATACTCTTTATGTTTTATCTAAACTTAGCAATATTTTAGTGATACCCTTGCGGCTCACAGCCGATCGAGCTTTGGAACTTTGCCACCAGATTTTCATGCGCGAGCACTTCATACGCCTTGAAGATGCGAGTAAACCGAAGGGACGCACACTTTTCCTACTCAACGTGCCACCTTACGTATCGGAACAAAGCTTGGGCCGCTTCTTCCGCAAGAGTGTTGATGTACTAAATAAAGTAAGCTTCGCTGAACGTCCAGGTCGAAACGAAAGCGAAAAATGGCAGAAATATAACATCCCATTCAGCAGTTCAGCTGTGCCTTTTAAATTTAAAGTGGCTTACGTTGTCTTTCAAAAAAGTACGGGCGTGCAACGTTCTCTACAATTGAGTAGCATTGATTTGTTTAACAGCGATGGCGACTGTGTACTAGAATCGGGTATGCAGTTGTGGCACAGTCAGTATGAGGAGCGTATATTGGATGAAACAGAGGCACAAGCACGCATTGACAAGTTTATGGAAGCGTATGATAAACGCGAGAAAAAAGCGCTGGAGGCGGCTAAAAACTCCGAAGCCGATGCGGACGGTTGGGTGACTGTTGGCAAACAAGGCCGTAATGCCGGATTTGAACAGAAAGAATCTGTGGTTGGTCGCTTAGAAGAAAAGATAGTTCGCGGCAAGAAAAAGAAGGAATTAGATAATTTCTATACGTTTCAAATACGCGAGTCGAAAATGAAAAATATAGTAGAATTGCGTAAAAAGTTCGAAGAAGACAAGCAAAAAATTGAAGCGCTTAAAAAGACCAGGCGTTTTAGACCCTTTTAAAGTTGGTAGTTTTTAATAAATGAAGCTATACATTCTTATAAACATTTTTATTTGTGAAAACTATAAATTACATACATAATTATAGCATAGTCTTATATTACTCAGACGGGTTTGTTTGATTTTATAACCATTGACATAAGCGAATGAGGCGGCAACGTTTCAAGTATACACAATAATTGCGGTATATTTCCGTACATACAATTGGCTGATTTGGCTACCTGCACAGCTTGCGCAAGTCGCTCCATACTTTTTTGATAGGCTACGTCTTTTGTAGGATCTGTTTTATCAGCCAGCAAACGAGATACATAATTTTTCAATGGTCCTACAGTTTGTGCTAAATGTTGGGCATTCAATGCTGTAGGTGGACCAGTGTTGACTATCTGCAACATCGTTTGCAACAGCCACAGATGTAAATTACTGTAAGAGGAACGATTCGAGAATAAGGGTGCTAGAACCGACCAACGTATAAGCCCAGCCAAAGGTGTAACAACAGGCATGGCAATAGCACCACTTGGCAATGCTAAAGGCTGTTGAGATGCCAGACACAAGGATGAATTTTCACTTATCCATTCCGTGAAAACATCTAATAACGCATCTGGTGGTGGCGTAATTGCGCCTAATTGCTCATTCATATATAAATCTGCCACGGCAGTCATTAGATTAGCTGCGAAATGTGGGGCAACCATAGGAAGCTGCTTAAATTTCTCAGAGGTTTTGCGTGAAAATGTTATAAAATCACTAACTAAACTCTGTGCTACTTCCAAACTTGGTTGATTCGTGCAACCGACTTGTTGCATCCATGTGCCTGCTGATGAGAGTAGAGGTGCAACCGAACCCGAAACAGCAGTGCTTACCAATCGGCAGAGTATTTTGGATCTTTGCGGTGTAAGATTACTACCAAACAGTGATAGAAATACTACGTTTCTTGTAGCATCTGGCCCAGGCTGCGAAAAAAACTCAATAAGAACGAGTATGAGTTGAAACTCTTGAAATGAGTTCATTTGGACGCTGGAGAATGGTTGACCTTTGCGGATGTCTAGGGCTTCTTTGGGCCTCTCCATAAATACAAACTCGGAGATAAGTTGAATGGCAAAGTTCTGTTTGCTGCGGCTCACGACGATGCTTTCTGAAATTTAACAAACGTCCAATTTTATATTTTCCGTATTTTTACGGGCACAATTTTTACCTATACGGGGAAGGGCTTCCTTGGCGCAAGCCGGAAAATCCAGCTTCCGTAAACTATGCTTAAAATCTGCTTGCGACATTTTTTTTCTCCAACAAAATCAAAAAATGTAAACAAATAGATATGATAAAAACCAGCTGTTGCTGTCAATGATACTATCGATAGTCTGGAACTATCATGAGGCATCGATAGTTTTTCGTAGCTATCGATACTATCGAAATTTTAGGTTTTTTTCCATATATGCGTTCTTTGATATATGTAATACTTCTATATTGATAGTAAGCTAACATCTCAATGTGTAAGCATACCGAAATCAAAGCGAGACAGTCTAGTACTGTTTTTGTCAATGTGTTGTGTACTTGAGTGCCGGTTTTGTAAATGTGTCGTGTACATGTTTATTTATAAACGTATGTGTTCCTTTTCTTTCGTACGTGTTTATTGATATATCTGTACTGTATTGTTTTCGGACGGTACTAGCTCATACTGCCAATATAGGAGTATTACATATATGGTTTTTTCCTTTTTGTTCCTTACCTAAACCAAAGAACGTAAATGTACAAAGAACATAAATGTACATAAATACATTTACGTTCTTTGGAGGTAAGAAGCAGAGATAAGAAGCCAATTTGGTGGGTTTTTGAATCCGCTCTTGGTAGCAAAGAAAGTTGTCTATGGCAACCCTGGTGCTTCTGTGTTTCGAAAATATCAGCTCGTTTCTGTTTACTTGCAAGTCGCAATTATTTTGCGATCTGCCAGCAACATTTTGTGGCACTAATTTGGTTTGCTTTGCGAAATAGTTTTTATTAAAGTGCGGACAATCTTCTAATCGATAGAATGAGTTCAACTGTTGTAACACAACAGCGCCCTCTTGGCTTTATTGGACTTCATACCGAATTTACGGTAAGTTTCTAAAAATCTTGATGTGCGGCACTTCAATGTGTTCTTTTCACAGAAAGTTCTGCAAGAAGCGTTCCAAAAACAAGACGCCCATATTTTGCGCGCTTCCTATGAATCCTTCGGAGCCAATACCGACCATGATAAAAAGTCGCCAATGGACCAAGCGTTTCGTGAAATGCTACTTTTCCGCTTAAGTGACGAGGTTGAAAAAGTGGGTGCTCTTGTGCGTCTTTCAGTTGAAGCAGTACGTGCTGAAATTGTCTCAGTTACCATACCCGTTGTCTTGCTGGGGGACATTTTTGATGCGGTCACTTTAGATAAATGCGAACAAATCTTTAGATTCGTTGAAGAAATGGTTGAAGTGTGGAAAGAGGACATATTTTTCTCGTCATGCAAGAATAACATTCTCAGGATGTGCAACGATTTATTGCGGCGTTTATCGCGGGCACAGAATACAGTCTTTTGTGGTCGTATATTGCTATTTCTATCTAAATTCTTTCCTTTCTCTGAACGGTCTGGACTCAATATAGTTTCGGAATTCAATTTAGACAATGTTACTGAATATGGTGTCGACGGCAAAGACCTGGATGATACTGTCGAAGACACCGTTGAAGATATTCCCATCAAAATTGATTACAATTTATATTGCAAATTTTGGTCGCTTCAAGACTTTTTTCGCAATCCCAATCAGTGTTACAGCAAAGCTCAATGGAAAATGTTTCAAGCGGTGAGTATTTTATGCACTATTTCTAAATTATTTGTACATTTGTACATTTTGCTCGAATTCCCCAATAGCACGCTGGTACAGTGTTAGAAGCTTTTGATAGCTTCAAGCTAGAAGAGCCACGTGTAAATAGCGCAGGAGAAAAAAACCGAAAATGCTTTAACAGCTGCTGATTATTTGGAAAGCATGAAAATGGATTTAGATGCTTCTGAATTTGCAGCGGAAGTGGATAATCCAAGTTGTAGTGAAGTAAATAGTCAAAATGTGCGCCAGTCCGATCACTTCTTTGCCAAGTTTCTGACAAATCCAAAGCTGCTGACCCTACAATTATCTGATTCCAACTTTCGACGTTCAGTCTTAGTGCAGTTCCTGATTCTGTTCCAATATCTTCAATTGACTGTTAAATTTAAGACGTAAGTTGAAAACATAGCATCTACCAAATCCAAAATATTTGTTTCAATTTTTAATAGTGAATCAAATACATTGACCACCGCGCAAACAGATTTTATCAAAGAAACAGAAGCAAAAGTATATAAATTGCTCGAAGATACACCACCTAATGGAAAGCGTTTTTCTCGCACCGTCCGACATATGTTAACTCGCGAGGAAATGTGGAATAACTGGAAAAATGATGGATGTAAGGAATTCCGCAAACCCGACGACGCTGAACCAGAGACTACCGCAAATAAGGACGCTGGAAGTAGTGATGTCATATCTACAAAACCACCAGCAGCCAAGCGTGCCAAGCGCACCCTAGGGGACAGTTTAAAAGATGCACACCGCAATAGCAAATTCTTTCTGGGAAAGTACGTATATATATCCCCCTT